TATTCACCAAAAAGATCCTCAGGACTCCCTCACTCACAAACTCACTCGCCCACTCTATTTGTTTATTACTTATGGCCTTGGGTTTCCTGTCCAGGTGAGGTTTTTGTTTCCCAGTTACCTGTCTAGATGGTTTAAATGCGAGGCCTGTCTCGCAGCTGAAGATTGCTGATGGCACCAGACCTGCTTTGTATTCACAGAGACTGACAGTGCTAATGATGGGTTTTCCCTGGATGCTTACAGCCATTTCTTGGTTTGTATGTCTGTGGCATTTCCAAAGTAGAGGAGTTATTTACATGTTTAACATTTCTAGCGGTGATTTTATTTATTTTTTTTCCTTTTCTTTGACTAAGAATGGTACAGTATGTGGTGACGAAGTTCAGAGGAATAGTGTCATTAAATTGTCCTTTTTTGGAAGACTGCTCATGCGCCTTTTCCTTCAGTCTTCTAAAAACGTTTGTATGTTTCAACATGTGAGATTGAATATTTCATTAGGAAGCATCAGGGGAGTTATTTAAAGGCAGATTTTAAACAATCTTAATCACTAATGTATTATACATGCTGAAAACCTAAGTGAGAAGGGAGTATAGATTTGTGTTGCTGAACTTTTATTCTTCTTTGTCTTCCAGCTTGTTGGCATGGTTAAATATTTAAGTGTATCTGCTGAAGGAAATAGGAACTTGATGTTGTTATTGAAATACTAAAGCGGCCACGAACTATCCATCTTTTACGTCTCTTACAGCTGTCTGCATTAACTAGTGGTAATGACCTGGCAATAGACTGTTTGAAATGACTTAGTTGTTTTTTTCTTCATCTAGAGATAGGTTTTTATTACTACAACTTGTTCTTATTGCCATATAAATTTTTAGAAAAGTGTTTCTTGGTTCAGTCAAATTTGTATCCTTATAAAAATACCAAGATGCGTTGCCATAATGCCAGTAAAATATATATGTATTCATTGGATATAATAAAAAAAACTAGCTCTTTTATTGGACTATAAGTTTTAAGTTTCTCCCCAGGTCTGGCATGCATTTTGTTTGTTGGGTTTGGTTTGGAGGAAGGTTACTCAGGAAGGTGGGGAGTGAGGATAAGAGGCTAGAATGTGTCTGAGATTTTTCCCAAGGATGTAGCAGCCTGTGATGGCCTATGGTACCTATGATGGAATCATATCATGGCATTCCAGCCTATGATAGCATCATCTGATGGAATCATAAGAGTGATTACAGCATGGGGTTTTTGTACTGATACTATAGTAGCTGTTAAAGACTGACGCTTTGTTTTACAGTAAAGGAAACTAAAATCCAGATAATCGAAGTCCGTGGTCACATAGCTAGTTAGCAGCTGAGCTGGAAGTAGTATTTGGGTTTCCTGATTCTGAGTCCAGAACTCTCTTCAAAATATCTTTCCTACAGATGTAATGAATTTTCATTACATAAAATTCTGTAGAATTTTGGTGATGAATAGTGGCTAAGTTATTATTACTAGCCTCCCCAACCTGATGGGTTGAAAGCATAATTAAGCATTTCAGAATGAATTTTTTTCTCAATTGCTATGAAATGATCTTTGAAACAGCCTCTGGGGCCATGGAATAAATATTTCAATCATGACTCTCCTGACTGGAGAGAAGTGTTGAATATCTTTTCTCTGTGTGTGGTAAATTGATATAGAATAAATGAGAAACTGTTCATTGACAGGGTGAACCATGCTTCTGAGTGACTTGGGTTCAATTCTTTAGTTTATACCTGGATTCCCCATTCTATTTCCCACAAATCTACTGATGAAGAGACATGCTTTAAGGTACTCAGAGTGTCCTATCCAAAATGGTTTATGAGGAAAAAAATATTGATTCTAGAATTCTTCTAGTGTCACTATATTAACCAAACTCCTTGCTTTGATTCTGCCCGGGGACTAACTGGAGGCCTATAGGAGATAAAGAGAAGTAGGAAATCCACATGGCATAAAAATTATTGAAAAAGTAACCAGATACTTTTTTAAAAGGGATTAGATAGAACTATGGTTCAGAAGCTTACCCCCACTTTGCTCGGTCATCCACTTTCGCACTTTTGAAATGCTTGCTATCTTTGTAATCATTTCTAAACCTGTGTTCTTTGCATTATTTGGAATGTAAGCTTTATAACATCATCTGTTTTTACCAAGGTTTTGTATCTCTAATGAGCACTTCATCATTGTTGAAATGTATATGCCATGCGGTCCTATAATCCTGTTCTATAATCTTTGATGCCTATTTTAGTGAAATATTTCTGGAGAGAATCAAATTAAATATAATCGTATACATTAATGACAATAGTAATTCTGTGGCTGCTTCTGCTATTGCTACCGCTACTAACATGAAGAAGAGTGGGGGGAAGGAAGAAGCACTTATCTTGTATATAAGGCATTGTGCCAAGCACTTTACATAAATCATGGCACTTAATGTAATCCTTACAACAAAGTTATTGTCATCTCCATTTTACAAAGGAAGTTTCATGTGGCTAAGTTTCTTGCCCACGGTCATGCACCTAGCAGATAGCTCAAATGCCTGTGTTCACACTGTTAACCGTTATGGCATGTATAAGTTTATCATTCAGTCCTGGGACAGAGAGGCTGTAGAACGCCTACCTACTGTTTTAGATCATGTGCTTTATTTGGTTTAGTTCAAGGAAAAACTTTAGATTTTCATATGTAGGGTTTTCATTAAGCTAGCTCAGTTTGCTCAAGCAGAGTTTTTGAAACAATTCTTATGAGAAGAAACAAGTATCTTTAGTTGTTATCAATGATCAGTTTTGGGGAAAAAGAAGTCTATGAATCTCTTAGAAAAAAATTATGAGTAGTGCCAAGGAGTGTTCTTATTGATAAACTATTTAATTATTAGATACTGAAGAATTGTATAGCAATATGTCACATCATGACTTATGATAAGCTATTATGTCATTTTCAACTGGTAAATGGTATGATGAATTATTTAAAACCACCCAGAAATTGAGCTAGTACTGTTTTTCACAAAATCACAGATCATACTGTCATCCATATACTATACATATCTTCTTTGTGTTGAATGATTAAGTTTTCTATATTAATTTTAGGTAATCGAGTCAGTAGTATGGTTTTACACTGATTCAAAAATTGCCAAAAAGCATTTTGTTTTCTATTTTAGTAAGAAATCTTAATATGCTATTTAATAAGTAAATCACTTTGTTATGTATATAATCTTATTCTATTACATTATGACATTAGCTATGTATGTCAATTTTCTATTTCAGTTTTCTTAAAAGCATAATTCATGATCTAGTAATATAATTGTTACTTAACTTATTATTTTAGCTAGCATTTTGATAAACAACTTATATTAATTTTCCCATTCTCTTTTCTGACACCTCTAATAAAAAACAGTGACATTTAGAAGGAATTGGTTGAAAGAATGACAGTGTTGGTATTCAGTTAAAGTTAAAAACAAATTTCAGAAAAGAACATGCCTAAATAAAGAAAACTAAGTGTCATGTTATTACTATTAGTTGAGTAGACTTAGAAGTTACAGCAACATTTCATAACTATGGGATGATTTGCTACCTATTTTCAAAAGAAGGTTCAAGGGAAAAATATTATATGTGTCAGTTTGATGGCATCATTTATTCTATGTATGTTGTTGTCCAGAGGAAGAAATTAGAGAATCTCAAAGGATGGCAGTTGTTAATTTTATTCTTAGCTTTCATTATTATTGGCAACCATAAAATTTGTATGTTAAAGAAAATAATGATGATAAAAATCTTAATAATAATATTACCATCATCATTAAATAGAGAAGAGTCTTTCAATGACCAACAGACTTGAAGAAGATAGAAATTGGGGTTTCTGGTTTTGCCACTTTGTTACGTTGGACAAGTCTTTCCATCTTTTGAGGTGCCGTTTTCTTTATCTGAAGAAGTTATGGGTTGTACTAAATGAGCCACATGATTAATTTCTTTTCTGCATGTACCTTAACTTTCTTATGTTTGCTGGGAGAGAATTTTCTTGACCTAGTCTCTTAGAAAGAAAAATGATGTTAGGGAAAAGGTACAAAATCAGATTTTGTAGCCAATGACCCGGTCATAAAGGAATATAGGGATGTTTATACTCTTTTCTGTTTTATTCGGCTGTAGTTTCTGTAATAGATGTGCTCAATATCCCATGCAGTTGGTTTCAAGGGGCCGTGGTGTATGCTGTGGTAGAGATGTGGAAGTTGCCAGACAGGACGCTGATCCACAATATCTGAGGCCACTCAGAATAGCCACAAGGAGCTTTCACCTTCATGAAGTCTTTTTGGACAGTCCATGCACTTACCTCGCAAATTCATGGCTAATTTTCTTTTGACATGTAAAACAACACCAACATTAACAAGTTTTGATGTGTTTTAAGCAGATTTGTTTCATTAAAACCAATTAAATAAACAGCAATGCAAGTGGTTTTCAAAAACAAACATGTTTGCACATACAGTAATCTGCCTGTACATGTGAGGGATACTTTTCAAGAACCCCAGTGGATGCCTGAGATTTCGGATAGAAACCTATGTACATGCTTTTCCCCTATACATGTATACTTATGATAAAATTAATTTATAAATTAGGCACAGTAAAAGATTAATACCACTAACTAATAATTCAATAAGATAGTAATAACAATATATTGCAGTAAAAGTCATGTGAGTGTGGCCTGTCTTCCTCTTTCTCTTTCAAAATGTCTTACTGTCTTATACATACATCATAGATTTGCTGGGAAAAGGGCTGATTCAAGTCCCAGGCAGGATGCAGCAGGACTATGTGAGATTCCATTTTGCTCCTCAGAACAGTGCACATTTTTAAAACTTAAGAGTTGTTTATTTCTGGGATTTTCCATTTAATATCTTTGGACTGCAGTTGCTCACGGGTAACTGAAACCACAGAATGAGAAACTGTGGTTGAGGGGAGACTACTGTAATTTAAGGAGAGGGAAGATTCTGACCTTTTCATTTCATTTATTTTTGGTTGCAGAACTTCAGATGGTGGCAAAGTTGTTGGCACTGTAGAAGTCAGTGTCGTGAAGATGGGGGAGATTGAGGATGGAGAAGCCGACCACATCACGACAGATGGACAGGCACAAAAGGTAGGGTCTCAGCCAGCTCATCGCGCAAATTCAATTAGAAATGATCAGCTATGACAGATGCCCGAATCACTGACACCTCTGTGGGGCATGAAACCTCATTATTCACAAGCCAAATGAGAAATCAGCTCTGGATTTTGAGTACCATAGTGTTTCATCCTCTAAACCAGAAGACCTATTTGCATGGAACTACGCAAAGCCACGTGCCATTGCAAAACACATTCCTCTCCACTGCTAGCTCCAATGTTGACTCTGCCTCTTCTCAGTTGGAACAGAAGTGTTCATCATTGTTACGTTCTGTCATAATTATCCTTACATGAGATGCACAGAAGATTCTGGGAGGGTGATTTCCAAAAGTAGCCACTCCCCTACTCTCAGAACCGTCTCTGGAAAAGGATGTGATTGGAATTTAGATTTAATTTTTATGTGAAGGAGGGCAGATTTAATAATGTTTTGCCTTATGAAACTGGGCGGGGGGGGGGGAGAAGCAGGAAATAGTATACAGCAGCGAGCTCAGAAGCAAGGGCAAAGCCACTTGGAGGCAAAGTAGCTTCCCTGAAGCGCAAGGTAAAGGCCTTTGAGCATATCTACATGTGTCCAGGAGTTATATTTTCTTTCCACTTTCTTCTCTCTAAGAAAGAGAAACTTGATATAAGTGTTAGCCTAAATTCCTGTCTTAGGAACCCAAATGCCATTTTATTGAGGCACAGGGGACAGACTTAAAAATGGCTAATGGTTTTTTTTTTGTTGTTGTTTTTTCAGGAAAATAAATTTTTATATACATTCCAAACCTTTTCCTATAATTCCTATACTATAATTCCTACCTTTTCAGAAACGAACAGTGTTTTAATGATAAGGCTTTATTGTGACTTATTTTCTGGCTTAGTGTCTCTTATCTGGGAACATTTGAGTTTTGGTAGTAAGGAAACGTCTGCATGGAAGGTGGTGTTTATGTAACACTTAACAAATCATTAATTTTACAAAATATATCTAAGACTGCTTTTCAAAAATGTATCACCCTTGCCCCAGAATAGGCTGTCTTATCTGCATCCTCAAGCCTTGTTCCTCTCTGATCCCCTTCTTTCCCTCGGAACATATCCCAGATCATGAAAATATTCTGAGGAGGCCCAGAGTTTGAGTCAGGTTGTTTGCAAATGTCAGGGCTGGGGTGAAGTCCATGCTGAAGTTTTGCAGCAGGTCCTCTTAGGATTTGCATAATCAAGACCTGTGTTTTGGGGCTAGGTCCTTTCATTTGGTCCTTGTGTCCTTTGGAGTTCCATATTAGATCCATCTTAGTCACCACCATGTAGATGCTTGTGTTTAAGATTAAGGAGGGAAGGGGCTGGCCGAGTGGCTCAGTTGGTTACGAGCTCGCTCAAGAGTGCGAGCTCTGAGCAACAGTGGTTCTATGCCCAGTCCGAGTTGAGCTGCTGCTGAGCTGCCAACAGGTGGCAGGATGGCTCAGCTAAAAAAAAAAAATAATAATAATAATAAGATTAAGGAGGGAAGAATGACAGGCTAAGTGGGGACTGAGAGCGGGAATAGGCAGAAAATCGTGCCTGGGTCTGTGGCAGTGTGCCAGGAGACCAGGAGCAGAAACACTTCCTGAAGGAGGGCTGCTGTTCCTGCCTCTGAGCTATGACTAGCCACCTCCCTGTTCTCCTCAAAGCTTGTCCACCCCTTGACTCCTTCAATTGTGTTGCTATTATGAGGTAGCGCAAATTGAGTCATGATTTTTCATAAATGGAGAACTCTATTCGCAGGAATATGCCCCACCCAAGTCCTACTTTATGTTTCTGACTTAGTAATGTGAACTTAGAACAAGACTTAACTGAGCTGTTCTAGAAATAGGAGGTGGCAGTGTCAGCGCAAACTGTGTACGAGTCACAAGTGTGTTGGCATTACCGTCGTCCTGTCTGAATTCTCGATAAACCTTGACCTTTTTTAAAGTTTCTTATAAAGCTACTATAAACTCTGATAGCAAGCCCTAGGAATATGCGTGACTGAGGGAAGAACACGTAGTAGGTCCACTATGCATGATATTTAGAAGACTTATGTGGAGATAACTTTATCTCGGTGTTTTTCAAAGTGTGGTCAGAATCGCCTGGGGTGTTTGTTAGAAACACAAATGCAACACCCTTTGCACATCTGCTAAATCAAAATCCCTATGAAATATAGTAACACAGTTTGTTACTAATGGAGATTTAAGTCCTGAAATTAGTGAATGACTGAAATGTATGAAAAGGAAAAGTCACTGAAATAGAGTTTATCCCTAAAATCACATCCCTCTCACTGGTTTGCATGAATGTCAGAGAAAGAAATGGAACTACTCTTAGCACTGTAGTCATATGGATGAATGACATATGAGTATTTCTGTAGATTTCTCCATTGATATTTACTGTAGTAGAGACTTTGCTTATTTGGCTTGTATCTATAGAAATTGATCATATTAGATGCAAACAAGAAATATTTAAAACAGAAGAATACACAGGCCCACATACCATTAGCTGTTATGTCATTATGCCCTATGGTCTCTAGAGAATTCCACTATATGCTTGTAAGACAAAGAGAGGCAAACAGACAAATAATGTTTCAGTATTATTATGAAAATAATTTCATCTTTGCCCCCTGCTAGATGCTACAGATGAAGCAAAGACAAAAGTTATCAGGGACTTTCGGGAGATTCCAGACCCAACTTAGAGAACCATGATTTAAGGAGTAAATTCACAGATGTGAAAGTGCTTTGCCAAGAAGTATTTGTCTTGGATGGATTCATACTGAGCTTTATGATCATTGTTCTTATAATTTGGCCAATTTTCTAGCCCAGTGCATGGAAAATTGATATATTAGTTGATATTACAATCATTGAGCTAACTTCAAGAATTTTACATATCTTATGTTTCTTCTCCTTGGCCACAGTTACCATCACGTGACATTTTTTAAAGTATTCATTAAAATCGATAGGCATAAGGTTCTCCGTGTGGTATAAAAAGTGTGTGATGTTTGTTATTCCTGCTCGGAATCACAAGTGTGAAGTCATTACGCTGAGAGCACACACCATGTAAGTGTGTAATGCTGCAGCTATTCTTCATAGTGATAGCCATGAACAGTGTATGTAGCT